TTTCTGCTTTAATATATATTTTATAGACTTGCTGACTTGTTATGATTCAGAACGCGCTGCCTGAAGGCAGAAAGCTGTCACAGCTATTTTGCGTTCACCCCTTGTTTTACGCAGTTAACATTTTTTATAAGTATCACGACAGTCTTCAAGAAAGTCAACTGTTAATACAACCACAGTCAACGAATAGAAAATAGTTTTTTTTGTGTAGAAAAAGACCCCTGGGCGTGTGCCCGGATATGACCTCAACTCCTTTATTGTGTCAAAAGTGGGGGGTGGGCGTTTGCCCAGGCATGGGCTCTTACCCGGATAAGTACGGTATGTACCTTGAGCACCCCTCTTAGATTTGTTCATTTCATGATGATACCTTCAATTCTCAAATTTTTTGGTAAAAAGTGATATTTTCGACTTCATATTGAAAAAATTCAGATTGCTTTGATATTATACATATAGGTACTACAGGTAGACCTCTTTCAGATTTGTTTATTTCATGATGATATCTTCAACTCTCTAATTTTGATGAATATTTTTGTCAGTTTTGGAAAAAAGTGATATTTTTCGACTTTTTGTTGAAAACCACAAGCCACTTTGCTTTGATACTATACTTATACTATATGTACCTTAGGTAGACCTCTCTCGGATTTGTTCAATTCGTGATGATATTTTCAATTCTTGAATTGAAATGTATATTGCTAACAGCGGAGCTATCTCAGCCGAGAGGCTGCTTGTTTATATTCTATCTGTGGTAGATGTATAATAATGCCAAGTAACCGCTATATATAAAAATACTTGACAAGGATTATTAGTCCCCGTTCGGACGCAGTCCGAAAACGGGGACTTATGTTTTGACCTCCGTGCGTGCGTCTGTGCGTGCGTCCGGACCTGTATCTTAGAAATGCCTGGACCAATCACAATCAAACTTCACACATACATCATATATGATATTATACATATGCACGTCAATTTGTTTCACGTTCTGATTCAAGATGGCCGATTGGCGGCCATTTTTGTGCTAAAAATCATCAAAATCAAGCATTTCTTGGGTGTTTACAGATGGATTTTGTTCAGACTTTGTATATACATTAGACATTATAGGACCTTGATGCACATCATTTTGTTTTATGATCTGATTCAAGATGGCCGAATGGCGGCCATTTTTGTGCTGAAAAATCCTAAAAATCAAGCATTTCTCGGCTGTTTACAAATGAATTTTGTTCAAACTCGATATATACATTAGACATTATGGGACCTTGATGCAAATAATTTTGTTTTTCAGATAAGATTCAAAATGACCAACTGGCGGCCATTTTGTTTCAATGAATTCTCGTGCCATATCTCTGACTTGCTTTCACTGATTATGTTCAAATTTTAACTATTCATTATACATCATGTCATAGATAAACAGTTACATTGGTTTGACAATCCTATTCAAAATGGCCGAATGGTGGTCATTTTTGTGTAAAACATCATCAAATATCAAGCATTTCTGGCATTTATGGATGGATTTCGTTCAAACTTGGTATATACATTAGACATTATGGGTTCCTGATGCACGGCATTTTTTTTTTCAGATTGGATTCAAAATGGCTGATTGGCGACCATTTTGTTTTAATGATTGGGATTATAGAGCCTACTCTTAAATGCTTTGACTGATTATATTCAAATTTTATATATTCGTTATACATCATGTGATATATATACATGTATTCAAAATGGCTGATTTTGAATGCTGTTCCAGAGCAATATCTCTAAATATGGACAAGTACTTGTTTGACGATCAGATACAAATGTCAATCATTTTAATGTTAAAAAAACATTTTCCTGACATGGTTATATTCCAGCTATATTACTATAAACAAAACTATATTTCTTAAACTTAATAACTAACAGGGACTGTGCCATGCATGGCTTGTGATTTATGTATCTGATTACTATATGGTGACCTTATTTAGCATAACTGTATATCTCAAGCACTGTAGTGCTGTAATGAAGGCATTCAACAAGAAAAGACTAGCGTATCACATGCATGTACAAGGTCATGTGACTTGATTGATATGCATAATTCTAATATCTAGAGAACTACCGGTATTGCAAATAAGCATGTGCAAATAATGCTATAATTGAGGCATAACTGTAATATCTCAAACTCTTGCAGATAGGAAAATGCACCCAGTGATATATTGACTGCATTGAACAAAAGGCGTGGCTAACCTAGGAATATGTATTGTCATGTGACCTCATTATATATAATGTCAATGTATTTCAATTACCGGTACCTACATTTGTATAAATTAGACAATATTTTTATATTTCAAAAAAAATGTTATCAGATTAATATTAAACACAGTAAGCGATCAGATATTTACAATCAAATTAAATTCATTGCTTTAATATTATGTACTGTGGGTCACATTGAAGAGCTACATTAGTAATTTAAATTGTCACTATTTCTTATTTGCCTACAGTATTTTCAGTTATCAAATCTGATATTGATTTTTACATATTAAGGCGCAGGTGATAGGATAAAATCTGATTCTGTAAGGACCAGTAATAGATTTGTTTTCAAATTAACACTCGTGAGTAAAAGGCAAAGTTGACAAAAATTGTAAAAATGCATAAAAATGTTCATAGCAAATTGGAGGCAATCTAATGAACATGGAATTAAATTATTTTGCAACAATTTATATTCTTTAATTCCAAGACTATAATTATAATAGTGAATGATTTTTAAAAAAAGTATATAGATTTTTTTTGTTTTATCTTAAATTAGACAAATTGTTAAATGACACATTTGTATATATTTGTAGTAACCATCATTAATTTGATATTGCAAATAATCAAAAATAGGCTGTAATTGTTGATGGGCCTGTGCCTAATTGATTTTAAATGTTGTTTACAGTCCTCTATTTGTAACTTGGAAAGCAAGTGGACCTACAAATGGTGATAAGCGTCTACGTGGTTGCATCGGTACGTTTGCTGCTGTCCATCTACACGAAGGTCTCAGGGATTACACCATTAGTAGGTATGTTAAAACATACATGTAGTATAATTATGGATCAACTTGGCACATTTATAAGATATTTAAATGGGTTTACAAATATCATTTACTTCAATAATGAAGAATAATACAATGTTTCCCACTCCCACTAGTAGCTGTCCCTACTAGTATAGATCTAAAATACTGTATACTGTAAAATACTTTATTTTAGCTGGAATTATCGCTGTTTTGAATGGAATTTATTTTCAGTGGTTTTTGATCAGTTGAATGTAAAATATAGGTAAAAAGATATATTCGCTAGATTTTATCTTCACTGAATCATTCCTTCAGGGAAATTAGTACACCATAAAATTCTCATTTGTCAATATACATTGTTCTAATACACATTTGAAAACCTTTGCCATATATACCGGTAATATCTGTTTGAAGATTTTCCATTTATTCATGTTTGCTGTTTTACAGTGCATTAAAAGATAGTCGCTTTCAGCCAATATCAAAGGATGAATTACCTCGACTGCAATGTTCAGTGTCTCTGCTGACAAACTTTGAAGAGGCAAATGACCATCTAGATTGGGAGGTGTGTATACCTATTGTTTATACCTACTGTTAATATCAATATTGAAAAATAAATGTGATACATGCCGTCAAGAGAGTGTCATTGCTGCAGGCATTTTCATTTGTTTTCAATCCAGCTTTTCAATGCTTTTTTAAGTTGCATGATTTGTATTTAATGTGTTGATATATATACAAATGGCACTTTCATTTGCTGTTCAATTTGAATAGATTATACTTAGCAGAGGTACATTGCTCTGGTGTTGACTTTGTTTATTTATCATGCATGTTCAGAATTCACCATGAAAATACCAAAATATAGTACATGGATATGTGACTAATTTGCATGGTTATTTCATGGCTCTTGATTATCTTGCTTGTGTAAGCTTGTAACCAGAGTACTGCAGTACATATGGTATAATCAAAGTAATTGTATACATGTTTACTTTAGGTTGGCATACATGGCATAAGAATACAGTTTATCAGTGAGAAGGGCTCCAAATGTACAGCAACATATCTACCTGAAGTAGCAATTGAACAAGGTATATGTATCTTAATCATTTATTGTGAGTCAGCAGTA